GCATAAAACAATTTGCAACGCCAGGATCTCAGAGGAGGAGGATGAGGAGGAGGAAGAGTAGGAGGAGGAGGGGGAGGAGGAGGAGCGATCAGCAGCGGGAAGCACCGGCAGAAGCAGCATCAGCAGCAGAAGGCGCCACGGTCGCGCACTTGGCCGCCGCACGGAGGGGTAGGGGGGGTGTTTTCCCCGAGGCACGCGCGGGGCAGCGGCCGATGCTCGCGCGGTGGCCACCTCGCCCGCTGGAGGAGGAGCGGGGCCGGACTTGGCCCAACAGTGGGAGCGCGACCACAGGCTAGCAGCCTTCTGGGGCGTGCGGGACAAGTCGTGCGACCACGCTGGCTGGGAGCACAACATGCTGGGCTACCACGCCCACGCGTTCGGTATGGAGTCAGGCTCTCTCTTCACGGACTTGAAGAAGGCATACGAGTTCGTGTCGCACTCCATCCTGGGCAATGAGGCCCAAGAGGTCGGCTTCAGCATGCGCGTGCTGCGAGCGGCGCGCGCACTGTACAGCGGGCCGCGTGCGATCTCCTTCCAGGATTGCTGCAGCGCGGTTGTCACGGTGAACGGCGGGACGGTCCTGGTGAGCTGCAGCCTGGCGACCACCATGATCAAGGTCAGGCTCTACCGCGTGTTCGTTTGCCTCGGTCGCGGCCACCCGTCGGCTGTGGTGCGCAACGTGGTGGACGATGTGTCGGCTCAGTGCATCGGGACGGCGAAGCACGTGGCGGAGCAGCTGGGCGCGGTGGGCCGTGACCTCGCCACGGGTTTCTCTGGCCTAGGCCTCGTGCTTCAGGGCAGCAATAGCTTCTTCCTCGCATCCTGCCAGTCTGTCGCCGACCGTTTGTCCGTCGAATGGGAGGCTCCAGGGTTCAGGCGTCGGGGGGTTGCGCGTAACCTGGGCACGGATGCGGCGACAGCTGGCAGGCGTAGGGTCCCGATAGCGAGGGCTAGGATCTGCAAGGGGTTCCGCCGCGCGGGGCGCCTTAGAAGACTGCGCGAGGCTGGTGCGAAGATAGGTGCTGTGCACCGCTCGGGGCCTCAGGCGGCCTGTCTCCGGGGCTCGGCGGTCGTGGGGCTGCCTGGTAGGAAGCTCCACGCCCTTCGTTTCCAGGCCGTGAGCAGTCTCTTTCGGAGGAAGAAGACGGCCTCAACGGGCCTCCGCCTTCTGAGCTCAACGCTTGGGGCCCAGCTCGACCCAGCCAGGCTGTATCACGGCGAAGTAGTGTACATGTGGGCGCGTGCTGTCTGGGAGATGTCCCCGCCCTTAGACATTCTTCAGGCTTGTTTCGTGGCTGCTCGGGACCACCTCCAGGCGGCCGCCTCGACATGGGGGGTCGCCACCTCTCCTGCCCATGTATGGTTGCTCTCACTCGCTGACCTGGGGTGGAGGGCGGAGTCGGCGCAGGCGGTTGTCACGGAAAGAGGAGAGCAGCTAGGCTTGCTTAGGCTTTCGCCCAGCCTCGTCCGCCAGCTCGCAGAGAGAGCGGCGTCGGGGGCATCCGATGTAGCTTCGCTCGGCAAGCACCAGCGCTCGCGAGCATGGCTCAGACTTGTTTTTTGGCGACCGATTCGGGGATTGATGGAGGGGCCAGAGTCGTCGCGTTGGTCGTCCCACCACCAGTCCTCTCTCCGCTCGCTGGTGTCCCAGGCTCACTAGCCACAGCAGCGGATGTGCGACCACGGCTTGGCCCTCGCATGTTTGTCCAGCGTGCGCAGGAGCACCTGGCACGCTGATGCATCGCAGAATTGATTGCCCTGCGTTCGAGGTCGATAGGCGGGCTAAGTGCAGTCTGCCGCCTGGTTGGTCCTGAACCAGGTCCGAGAGTGGGGCATGGAGTCAGAGCTCGCTGTTTGTGGTCTCTTCCCCTTGCCCCATCGACCTCCCTCCTGCCCCGATCGTCTCTTTCGACGAAGCATGCCAGACCTGGTGGGTCAATCGTCCAGCGTCTGGGTTTTTGCAGGGCATGGTTTTCACTGATGGATCAGCCCTCTTCTCATCCTGTGAGTACTCTCGGCGCGCTGGTTGGGGTCTCGTGATGACTGGTGAGTTGGGTAGGTTCCAGGCCGGGTGTTCCGGAGCGGTCCCAGCGGACTTGGCCCCGTTTCAGCAGGCTCGTGACGGTGAGGCTTGCGAGTGCGTGCAGGAGCCCGTCGGGTTTTTCACAGACTGCCAGGGAACGATCGACTGCGCGTTGCCCCAGGCGTTCGCGACTTGCTCGTCGAACCCCAGGGCCCATCTCTGGGCTAGAATTCACGCGAGGTTCGATTCGGGCCTTGTGGCCCACAGGGTCAGAGGCCACTCGACGATACATGATGTGTGGGCGGGGCGGGCGACGGAATGGGAGCGGGCGGGTAACAATCTGGCTGGCAAATTCGCTCGCCGCGGAGCTGCCCGCCACCCCTCGACTGCGTCGGCCCACGCGGACATCCAGGCCCTGGATAGCCTGGTCCAGGAAACAGCCCGCTGGGCCTCGCAGCAGGAGGTTCTCATGGCCGCCTCGACGGCCAAGGACGCCCAGGCCCTCCCGCGGGCGGGAGTGGGGGAGGAGCCGCGCCTTCGTCCGTCGGATCTGGCTCCCCCGCCCCTGCCCTGCTCTCTTGTTTCAGGTGGGTGCGGCCGCTTCAAGCCTCAGAGCCTCCAGGCCTGCGGCTCTCGTGAGGACCCCGAGTTGTCGCTGCTGCAGCTCCTCGTTCATCGTCTGCATGCGGCCACGGCTTTCGACCCCCACGGGGCCAAGGTCCTCTCGGGGCCCACTGCCCTCGTCTGCATCGCTTGCGGGGGGTACGCGTGGGGGGGTCGCCTCGCTGGCGCGCCCGCGCGGGGGCAGGCCGCCCACCAAACACACGGGGCGGCAGCTGGCGAGGGCGTGGAAGGGGGCTTTTCCCTGCGTGGGCCCCGCGGTACGGGGGCTGGAGGCTCGGGCCCCTGCGGGAGCCTTCTTCGGGCGACCTCCTGGCCCTGGCGGCCCCTCGTGTGCTTGTTGGGGTGCGGGCCTCGCCTGGGGCCCTGGAGCCCGTCTGGGGGGCGCGGTGGTCCCGTGAGGAGGTACTTCGGAGGTTCCTCAGACCAGCTCGAGTTTTGGAAGGTGCGGGACGGGGACTCGAACCCTCCCGAGGAGGGCGAGGGCGAGGACCCCGCCCTTCTTCGAGCTGGCTAGTTGGTTTTGTTTGTAGGTGTGGCTGGCACTGCCCCACGTCCTAAAGTAGTAGAGTAGAGTAGAGGAGTGGAGGAGGAGGTGAGGAGGAGGAGGAGGAGGAGTTGGAGGAGGAGGAGGAGGAGGAGGAGGAGGAGGAGGAGGAGGAAGAGGAAAATGAGGACAAGGAGGAGAGCGGATGTGGAGCAGCACGATCGGGAGCAGGCGGAGGAGGAAATGGAACGGGAGGAGGGAGGACGAGGACGACGGGAGTGGAGATAGAAAGAGGGTGGAAGCGGAGGAAGAGGAGGGAGGAGGGCAAGGGGGTGGATGTGGAGGAGGGTGCAGCAGGAGGACGGGTGGAGGTGGAGGAGGAGGACGGGGAGAGGAAGCAGGAGGACCAGAAAGAGAAGGAGGGTGGAGGACGAGGAGGACGAGGAGGACGAGGAGCAGCGTGAGCAGGAGGAGGGGGCTGGAGCGGACAGACCGGCGGGAACCGGAGCGGCGGCAGCAGCGGCGCTCGCTTGCGGAAACGACCAGAATGACGAGGCCGAAGACGACGGCGGCTACGACGAGGCCCGCGGCGACGGCGGCGACGGCGGCCGCGACCGCGACGTCGGCGGCGTCGACGGCGGCGGCGGCGGCTGCGGCCCCCGCGGCAGGTCGCAGCGCTCGGGACGGCGCACGGCCGCCGTCAATGCGGCCTCCGCCTACCATGTCGGCGGCGGCGCGCTCACTGGGGGCAGGCACGCTCTGGAGGACTGGATCGGGGGGCATGCCCAGCACTTGTCAGCGCGCGCGGCGGGGAGCGGTGGTCGAGGGGCGTCCCGCCGCGAGGGACGTCGGAGGCCCTGGCTCGCTCCTGGCCTTGCGCCATCCGGTCGGGATGGAACATGGTCGGGATATCCTCCTCTCTTCTCTTCCTCCTCTTCCTCCTCTTCCTCCTCGTAATCATCATCATCATCATCATCATCATCATCATCATCATCATCATCATCATCATCATCATCATCATCATCATCATCCATCATCATCACATCATCATCATCATCGTCGTCGTCGTCGTCGTCGTCGTCGTCGTCGTCGTCGTCGTCGTCGTCTCGTCGTCATCATCATCATCAACAACAACATCATCATCATCATCATCATCATCATCATCATCATCATCATCATCATCATCCCCCTCCTCCTCCTCCTCCTCCTCCTCCTCCTCCTCCTCCTTCCATCTCTCTCCTCTCTCGGCGGCACAGGCGCCGGCGTCCCCGATCGGGGCCCGCAGAATCGGTCGGGAACACACGTTTTCTGTCGTTAAGTCGGGCCTGCCCCCCTACAGGAGGAATATTCGAGAATAGTCAAAAATAGTCGGGGGACGATGGGACGATTTTTTAGCATTGTTGGACCCTTTGGGGGGGGCATTTGTTTGACTTTTTTTGTTTTTCGTCCAAGATCCCCCCCGTAGGAGGGCAGGCCCGACTGAAGGGCTGGCTGATGGGGGGGCGAGGGGGGGGGGACATCGCCCAGTCACCGCCGCCAGGGTCCCGACAGCCCACCCCGCCCAGGAGCGTGCAGTTCTGCCTTCCGCTGGGCTATTGAAGTCGGGCGTGTCCTTCTACATGAGGAATCTTCAAACATTAGTCCAACAGGGAGCAGAATACGATCTGTCGACTATTTTTGCCTCTTCGGGAGCATGTTTGGAGTATCTCTTATTCTTCGTCCAAAATCCGCCTGTCGGGGGACATGCCTGACCGACCTAACGGGCCTATCGCTGATCTATTGGCGATGCGGGCCCGGCGCCGCCGTCGACTTCCTGGATCGTCTCTTGGATTAGGTCGGACGTGTCCCCCTACAGGCGGATTTTGAACGAGAAATACGACATAGTCAAACAAAAATACAATACATATTTTGAAACCATAGTCGAGCAATCGCCCCCATATTACTTTTAATACTATTTTCGAATATTCCTCTTGTAGAGGGACAGGCCCGACTTAACGGTACGACGGTCTGGGGGGCGCGCTGGCCCAGGCCGGCGCAAAAAACCCAGGTCCGCGAGGGCTGCGTCGCGAAGGCGGGTCAGCCACGACGCAGCGCTCCCAAGCCCGGGTCGGTGGGGGGAGGGCTTGGGCGCAGCGTGACGCGGGGGGCGACAAACCCAGACCCCCTCGAGTCATGAAAGAATCACGACGCAAGGTTTTTCGCTATTTTCGGCCGCTGGGCGTCCTCACCAGGCCTCGGGGCCGTCAAACAACGACTCTGGATGAAAAACGGGTCCCTGGGAATGGGTCTGGACGCGTCATGAAAAAATCCGCCGACCCTGTCGGCGTGTGTGAGAGGCTTGTCCGTTCAAGTCGTCATCTCCGTCATTCGTTGGTCGTCGTCTCTGTCGTCCACTTTCCCTGCCTCCCCCTTTCCCTGGCGTCCAAGCTCCCCCTTTTTCCAGGGACCTCCTCATCGCGCCAACCAAAGCGAAGTTGAGCAACGTCGTAATTGAGTCGAAGGAAAACCACGTCCCGTCGATCCCTTCCCCGCCAGGGGGTGGAAGGGGGTGGGTGGGGGGGTCCCGGGGGGGTGGGGGTCAGATACGACGCCCCCCGGGGAGTCCCGGAGCCCAAAAAAGTTCCAAGACGGGCCAAGAGTGCCCCAAGAGGCCCCGAAGACAGTCTAGGAGAACCCCGAATCGCCGAACGATCTGTCCAAGACGCCTTGACGGCCTCCAGACGGCCCAAGAGGCCTGCAAAGCGCTCCAAGAGGTCTCCAGGAGCTTTCCCACGAGAGCCCCAAGAGGCAACATTCATGTATTCCCCACACGTTTTAAACAGATGTTGGCGTTCTTGTCTCTCCCGCTTCCCGACGCGCCAAGACGGCCCAAGAGGCCCCCAAGATCGCCTCGAGACGGCCCAAGAGGCCCCCAAAAGGATCCCCCAATGGCCGAAGAGGGCCCAAGATGGCCCAAGACGCCTCCAAGACGGCCCAAGAGGCCCCCAATATTGCCCCAAAACAGCCCAGGAGAGCCCCAAATTGCCCAGGAGGCCTCCAAGAGTGCCTCGAGACGGCGCAAGACGGCCTCAAGAGAGCCCCAGGCTGTCCCAAGAAAGCCTCTGGCCTCCTCCTCTTCATCCTCCTCCTCCTCCTCCTCCTCCTCCTCCTCCTCCTCCTCCTCCTTCTCCTCCTCCTCCTCCTCCCCCCCTCTGCTCCCCCCCCTCCTGCTCTCCTCTGCCTCCTTGTCCTCCTCATGCCTCTCCTTCACATCCTTCTCCCCCATCCTCCTCCCTCATCCACATCCCCCACCCTTCCTCCACCTCCCATTCACCCTCCTCCCCCTGCCCCTCCTCATTTTCATCTTCGTCGTTCCCAGGGTCGGCGGCACTGGCCGTAAGGCCTTCGCAGTCATGACGTCGGGGGTCTGGGGCAGTGGCGAAGCATCCCGGCGTGCCTATAGGCCTACGGTCGGTTCGTGTCGTGTCGACCGGTGGCGACCCTGCCAGCGGCGTTCAGCTTTGAACGTCGCGGGCGACCCAGAATCGTTCGATGTGGAACGATTTCGATGTTTCGGGGACGGCCGATCTGCAAGGTTGAACGATCCCCGCGGTGTCAGAAACCGACGCCGAAGTCGGCACGACACGAACCTGACGTGCCAAGCAATGTTCTAAGAACCGTTTGTTGTCTGCACGAAAGGTGCTCAGAACGTTGCTGGTCGGGGCCGTCCTGTTTTAACACACCGGGTCTGTGTTCTAAGAACATCGTCTTGGCTTTTGGAGCATTTCCGGGTTCTAAGAACATGTCGTGGAAGCCTATAGAAAGGCTGGGACGGCCGGTCCCTGCTCAATCCACGCGGTGTCAGAAACCAGCGCGCAAGTCGTCGCGACACGGACTTGCCGCAACTGGTTGGGGGGGGCTGGGCAGCGCCTGCGCGTGCGGTAGCAAGTCATGGAAGCTACGTAGATGCCCTCGTGATGTGCCGTCTCTGCAGTGCATCAGCGTGCGCCAGCGTGTCGACGAGCAAGCGCCGATTCAGCGCCGACTGGCGTCGACTTGGCGTCGAGCAGTGTCGATTCGCGTCGACTCGCGACGGTCAGCGTCGATCCGCAAGAGCCAGCAATATGGTATGAGATGCTCCCGTGAGTTGCCACCGAAGGCAGGGGTCAGCCAACCCCCTTGGAGCTTCTCTGGCCAACTGGAATTGGGAGGCCGCCGAGAAAAGGCCGCCTCTATCCCTTTGGGGCGTCGCGTCATGGGGGGGCGATGCATTGGGGGGCAGCGAGTTTTGCTGAAAAGGGGCCCTGAGGGCCCCATAAAAGGGGAGGGCGTCTTTCAGGCTCGAAAAGTGCACCTTTCTTCCCCCTGCCAGACCCCCGACGTCATGTTGTTTTCATGCGCGAGCCCCAGATGTCCAGACCCATTCCCTGGGACCCGTTTTTCATTCAGAGTCGTTGTTTGACGGTCCCGAGGCCCCCAGCGACCGAAAATAGCGAAAAACCTTGCGTCGTGATTCTTTCCTGACTCGAGGGGGTCTGGGTTTGTCGCCCCCCCCGCGTCACGCTGCGCCCAGGCCCTCCCCCCACCGACCCGGGCTTGGGAGCGCTGCGTCGTGGCGGGCCCGCCTTCGCGACGCAGCCCTGGCGAACCTGGGTTTTTTGGCGCCGGCCTGGGCCAGCGCGCCCCCCCCGACCATCGTACCGTTAAGTCGGGCCTGTCTCTCTACAAGAGGAGTATTCACAAATAGTATATGAGTGGTCAGGGGATTTTTCTGTATTTTCTGAGCATTTTAAAAGAGTTGTTTGGCTATTCTTGATTTTTTCCTGACAATCGGCCTGTACGGGGACACTCCCGACCTAGTCGTACCGAGGTAATTCAGATCGAGGTCGGTTCCGGCAGGGTGCCATAATGGTCTTCGTGGTTGTTGGATGTTCAGGTGCATCCTATAGGGGCCCAGACCCCCCCCGCCTTGTGAACAAATCGCGACAGAAGGCTTTTCCGTATTTTCAGCCTCTGGGGGACCTCACTGGGCCCCGGGACCGTCAGAAAACCACTCAGGATGAAAAACCGGTCCCTTGGAATGGGTCCGGACCTCTGGGTCCCGTCATGAAAAAATCATGACGTCGGGGGTCTGGGCCTACACCGCCGCGACAATAGTTTGGCCCATGTATCTTGCCACGGCGAATGAAGCTGAGAGCGTCGCAAGGCTTGCGATGGGCCCCCTCCCCCTTGGACTCCTACACCAAGACAACAAAGCACAGCGGTGGCGCAGCCGCGGCGGATGAAAAAACATCTTCCACTGAGACTAATAAGTAGTAGCTGTTTGTTTCAGGGGATGGACTTCGCGCTGGCGCGAGGGAACTCCACTGGGAAAAGGACATGGGCCTAAACTTTCGTCCCGCCAGAGGGGCATCCAGCACCGTTTGTTGCAGGCCTGGTGCCTTCAACCGTAGGCTGTATTTTCACCTCTTCCGCCGCCCCGTGCCTGCCAGCCTCCACAGACCCCAGCCTTTGCCGCCGCCGCAGGACGTCGGAATGGTGCTCTCGCCGTCACGCTGGCCATTGCGTTTTTTGCTGTTTCGACATTGCTGTTGGGGATGCGTGTCTGGACGGGAAAGTCGCATGGCCAGTCACAGACGCTCCCCAGCCCTATCCATGGCGCGCTACCGTCCCAAGCGTGGTTTGTACACGCTCCTGAGATTTTCTGCAGAGCTCGTCTCCATGCAGGTTGACTGAGTGATCGCTGCGAATGGACTTTCGGGTCGGCGGCGGCGCGTTGCTGACCGTTGACCCCTGGGCAAATGGGTGCCTGGTTGGAACGTGACCGCGGCGGGGGCAGAGCAGGCCCTTGTGCGACGGAGAGAAAAGGCTCTCTGGCACCGGTGCGACGGAGAGAAACGGCGCTTTGGGGCCACCCCCACACATGCCCCCAGCTCAGCATGTGGGGGACGACGAGATCACCTCCTCGCCGCGCCCGCCGTCCGCGCCGCGACCGAACCCTGGAAACTCAGAGGGCATCCAGCACAGTTTTTTTTGCAGGCCCGGTGCCTTCAACCGTAGGTTGTATTTTCTTATCTTCCTCCACCCCGCGCCTGCCAGCCTCCAGAGATCCCGGCGCGCTGCGTCCACGCGGCGCCGTGCATCGCAAGACGGATTACTCTGGCTTGCACTCTCGTCACGCCGGTGGCTTCCGAACGCAGGACGCTGGAATGATGCTAGCGCTGTCGCGCTGACCATTCCGTGTTTCGCCGTCTCGTGGGCCATTTTGAAGATCATCTTGGGCTCTCTGAGGCCGCTCGTGGGCCTCCTGGGAGCCTCTTGGAGCCCTCTGGGAGGCCTCCTTGGGCGCTCTTGGAACTCGCTTGGGGGCCTCGTGGGAGCCCTGGGGGACCTCTTGGGGCCATCTTGGGGGCGGTCGGTCAAAAGAGGGGGGTCCTCGAAGTAGCCCTTCCCCTCGGGGGCCACGATCCTCGTGAGTGGTGTCAAAAAGTGACCCTCCCAGGGGCCGAAAAAAAACCTCTGACACATCGGGCCCCCTTCCCAACAAAAATTCCAGGGAGGGGAGGGGGAGGGTCCCCCTCCACGAAGGGAAGAGGGGTCGTGGAAGAGGAAAGAGACCCTCTTTAGAGCACCTGTCGCCCAGAGGGTTGGTGGGATTCACTGATGTTCTTCAGGTTTCTGAAGGATGTTGGCCTCTTGGCGACCTCCTGGGGGAGGCTCCGTGGCCACATCGAGCCGTCTTGGAACGGTCTCGGAGCCCCTTGGAGCATCTTGGGGGCCATCTTGAGCCAGCTTGGGCTCTCTGAGGCCGCTCGGGGCCCTCCTTGGTGCCTCTCGGGTGTCTCTTGGAGGCCTCTGCGGGCCTTTGGGGGCGCTCTTGGAGCCCTCTTGGGGGCCTCTTGAGAGCCCTGGGGGGGGGGCCTCTGGGGGCCATCTTGGAGACGGTTGGTCAAATGAGGGTGATTCTCGAAGTAGCTCCCCCCCTCGGGGGCCACGATCCTCGTGAGGAGTGAGTGTCAAACAGTGACCCTCCCAGGGGCCGAACAAAAACCCTCTGACACCATCGGGCCCCCTCCCACCAAAAACACATGGAGGGGAGGGTGAGGGTTCTCCTCGCCGCAGGGGAAAAAGGGGTCGCGGAAGAGGAAAACGACCCTCGTTAGAACACTTGTCGCCCAGAGGGCTGGTGGGATTAGGGCTTTGTGTTTATCCAAAAGCCTGGTGTCTCTTCAACAACACCATGCTGATGACTTCCCCGTGTCGTTGATACTGTTTTTGGGTCCCACCCCGCCCCCCCCCAGCTCGTCCTGGCCGCAGCCGACGACGGCGGTGGCGGAGCCCCCAAGAGCGACGAAACCCGCGGCGGATCCCACACTCTAACCTGCGGCCAACTTTTCTTCCTCCCCCTCCTCCTCCTCCTCCTCCTCCTCCTCCTCCTCCTCCTCCTCCTCCTCATGCTCCTCCTCCTCGTTCTCCTGGCGGCCATCGCGCGGCGTGTTGGGGGCGGCCTGGGATATGCCAGGCAGGATTCCCCGACGCTTGGTCAGGAAGAGGAGGAAGCTGAAGAGGAAGCGCGTACGGTACGGGAACATGTCTGTTGGTGACGGAGGCGGACGAAGAGAAGGAGGTTGAAGAGGCGAACGTGCAGAAGGTGCAGGATGAGGGAAACGGGCGTAGGAGGACGTGGAGGAGGAGGAGGAGGAGGAGGAGGGGGGGTAGGAGGACGATGGGGAAAGACTGGCCACTCCCCATTCCGTACCGACCCTGCCGCGACCGCTCTCCGCAGGAGACCTGGTGTGTCACGTCCACGCTCTTGGGCTCCCTCCAGCAGGTCCAGTGGGACGAGGAGCTGAAGAGAAGGGGGGGGGCCGACGACCCGCGGACGGCGGAGGGATCCTTGACCTCGCGGCGGCAGGACGAGCCTCACCACCTGCAGTACCTTCCGACGGACGGGTGCGTCGTGAGCCCGAGCGTCACCCTCTTCCGCGGCACTCGGGCCAGACGAATGCGGGGGACACTGTCGGGAGTTTTGGCTTAACGTGTCGAAGGCGGCGGCCCTTGCGGCCACGCTGTGCCCTGCAAGCTGATGGCGTGTCGCTCCGCTCTGCGGGGCGGGAGGCCGGGAAAAGCTTGGAATGTTGATGCGTGCTGATTGGGACGACGTTACAGTCAAACCGCATGGTAAGGATGGGCAACCTTTCCAAGGGTACCCTTTCATCCTTGACTCCTCGTTCCATCCTTGGCCACTTTTGTTGGCCGCGCCCCGCTCAGAAAGCTCCGAAATGGCCTTCCAAGGTCCTTAAGTCCTCAGTTACCGCGCATCCTTACTATACGGGCTGACTGTTGCGTGTCGCGCTGGAGCGCGGTTGGCCTCAAGTGGCGGCGCGATATTCGCAGCACCTGTCCCTCACCGCATATGTATCGGGGGGTATGAAATTCGCCGGCCCAACGGGCCAGAGGCGTGCTAAGATCTCCGGTCACTGGTTCAGAATTCTCTAGTTCGCGCGCGCGGGGCGGCCCCTGGGGGTCCCCGGACGAAAAGTACCCCGGCAAGGTCCTGAGAGAGTCCCGGGAGGAGTCCCCCAGAGCGCTCCAGGAGCGCTCCATGAGCGCACCAACAGGGCTCCGAGACGTCCCCGAGAGCCCCAAGAAAGGCCAAGAGGCCCCCAAGAGGCCCCCAAGATGGTACACGAGGGGTCCGACATGCCACAAGATCGCTCCAAGACGCCCAAGATAGCCCCCAGACGCCCCAAGAGGCCTCCCAGAGCACTCCCAAGAGGGCCCCCGGAGGCAAAATTCATTGTTTTTCCTTAGGTTTTTGAGAGATTTTGGAGCTTCCACCTTTTCGGTTCCCGACGCCCCAAGACGGCCCCAGAGGCCCCCAAGATCGCCCCAAGAGGGCCCAAGAGGCCCCCAAGAGGGCCCCAAGATGGCCCAAGAGGGCTCGAAGACGGCCCAAGAAGCCTCCAAGACGGTCCAAGAGGGCCCCAAGAACACCCCCAAAGGGGCCCCAGAGAGGGAACACGAAACAAAATTTCGCGCCCTCGGCCCTAAGAAGCCCCTACGAGGCCCCAAGAGGCCCCTAAGAGGCCCCAAGAGGCCCCCACGAGGCCCTCAGGAGGCCCCCAAGAGTCCCCCAAGCGGCCCCAGGAGGCCCCCCAAATGCCCCCCCGAGCGCCCCAGGAGTCCCCCAAGCGGCCCCAGGAACCCCCAAAGCGCCGCATTGACACCAGGCCCTCGGGCAAACGGCAGACATGAGACCGTATGGGCCGGCGGAATGAGCGAAGCGATTCAATAATCTGCGGCGCGCAGCCGGTTTGGGCCTCGCGCCAGGAGGCGTCGGGGGAAGCAGCTACAGCAGGCACGCCAAGCAGCCCCCACAGAAGCTTCGCATCCCTCGATAGGGGACTCACGGAAGCCATGGGTCACCTCGGGGATCTCAGAGCTCGATGACGCCGCACGAGCCCCTTGTGTCTGTTTTTTGTTGCAGAATGTCTCTACTGTACTTTCATGGGCTGGTTCGCTAACCCCTTTTACAGTCAACCCGCACAGTAAGGACGGGCAGCCTTCCCAAGGGTACCCTTGCATCCTTGCTTCCTCGGTCCATCCTTGGCCACTTTCGTTGGCCGCGCCCCGCTCGGAAAGCTTTGACATGGGCGCCCAAGGTGATGGGCTTGTTTTTCACCACCACCACCACCACCATAAGTTGGAGGAGGAGGAGGAGGAGGAGGAGGAGGAGGAGGGCTTGTTTTTCACCACCACCACCACCACCATAAGTTGGAGGAGGAGGAGGAGGAGGAGGAGGAGGAGGAGGAGGAGGAGGAGGAGGAGGAGGAGGTGGAGGTGGAGGAGGAAGAGGAGGAGGAGGAGGAGGAGGAGAAGTAGGAGTAGGAGGAAGAGGACCCCCTCCCCCTCAAACTTCTGGTGGTTGTAGAAAACAGGCCCATCACAATGCCCTTGCATCCTCATCGCGCATTCTTACTATACGGGTTCACCCTACCCCCCCCCGCTCCTATGCGACCCGAGGCACGAGCGCGGACGGGTACGTCTTCAGCCAGGACCCCACTGAGCTGCTGGCGGTCTGCAGCATCGCGATGTTCAACACTAACACGAGGGCGACCGAGGAGCAAAACAATGCTGTAAACAGAAAAGGCCCGCGCGGAATTAGTGAGGTCTTGTGGGGAGTCTTTAGGACCGGCGCCGAAGGCGCCGCCAGGTGGGTCGGGCAGCCAATCCTCGGGGCTTCAGAGACGGGGGTTAGTGCAAACGGGGGTCAGTCAGAGCGCTGGACCTTGCAGGCTCTTGCAGGGTCAGGGGTAGACTGACTCGGGCTTGGGTGCAGGATCCTGCAGGACCCTGCAGGATCTTGCAGGGTTCTGCAAGGCCTGACTGACCCGGATCTGGATTGACCCGAGTCAGTAGATTTTGGGCATGTCCCTCTACAGGAGGAATATTCCCAAGTAGATAAAACAACAGTCTGGGGACGATATGTTTGACTATTTGGGGTATTGTTTGACGATTCTTGTTACCTAACAGCGAAGACTGATAGGTTTCTAATGGGCTAAAAAGAGAGCAGCACATTACTCCACAGGGGGGTCTGGGCAGCCGTTGGGGAGCCGTTGGGGATTTCCGGGGGGGATCCGCGGAACCTCGTTTTTCGCAAACAGTCACACACTTCGTGCTCTTCGACCTCCCAGAACTCCATTCCCGGGCCACATTTTGAATGCCCGGAGCCAACTGTAGGCCACTTCGTGCTCTTCGACTTCCCAGAACTCCATTCCCGGGCCACATTTTGGATGCCCGGAGCCAACTGTAGGCCACTTCGTGCTCTTCGAGTTCCCAGAACTCCATTCCCGGGCCACATTTTGGATGCCCGGAGCCAACTGTAGGCCACTTCGTGGTCTTCGAGTTCCCAGAACTCCATTCCTGGGCACATTTTGAATGCCCGGAGCCAACTGTAGGCCACTTCGTGTTCTTCGAGTTCCCAGAACTCCATTCCCGGGCCACATTTTGAATGCTGAGGCAGGCTGATGCTGAGGCTGAGGCAGGCTGAGGCAGGCTGAGGCCGAGGCTGAAGGCAGACTGAGGCTGAGGCTGAAGCAGGCTGAGGCTGAGGCTGAGGCAGGCTGAGGCTGAGGCTGAGGCTGAGGCTGAGGCTGAGGCTGAGGCTGATGCAGGCTGAGGCTGAGGCAGGCTGAGGCTGAGGCCGAGGCTGAAGGCAGACTGAGGCTGAGGCTGAAGCAGGCTGAGGCTGAGGCTGAGGCTGAGGCTGAGGCTGAGGCAGGCTGAGGCTGAGGCTGAGGCAGGCTGAGGCTGAGGCTGTGACTGTGACTGCCGTTGCCACTGCGACTGTTATCGCGAATGCGACTACGACTGCGAGAACAGCAGAATTCTACAACTGGATTCTCATCTGAATCTTAAGGGGAATGCTTCCAGATATGCTCCTACACATCGCTGTTAGGTTGCTTTGCCGGGATAATTTTCTTCCAAAATCCGCCAGTAGGGGGACACGCCCGACCTAACTTACAGTTCCTGGATAGCTCGCAGAGGGCTAAGAGGGTTTCAGGTTCAGAAGCCGGAGCCGCAGGGTAGCCCTGGAGCTCGTCTAGGCGTTTCCCAATGCGCGTGCCCAGAAGCTCTCAGAAGGTCCTTTGGAAGCTCTCTCCTGGTCCTTCCAGAGGGGTTCACCAGGCCTTTCCGCGCCCTTCGGGCGCCCTGCTATGCCGGGTTTTGGGCTACACAAGTAGATCCTCGAAGCCCGAGAGGTCCGCGCGGTCCTCCGAGAGGTTGTGGACGATGGCCGAGGGTTCGACGGCTGGGCATCGCGCGCGCGAGGTGCCGCGGCCGGCGTGTCGGGGATAGCGCGACGATGATGATGGCCAGATCTGGGGCCCCAGGGGTGTCCCAGGCTCCTCCTCCTCGTCCTCCTCCTCCTCCTCCTCCCTCCTCCTCCTTCTCTCCGCCTCCTCCTCCTCCTCCTCCTCCTTCTCCTCCTCCTCCTCCTCATTCTCTCCTCCTCCTCCTCCTCCTCCTCCCCTCCTCCTCCTCCTCCTCCTCCTCCTCCTCCTCCTCCTCCTCCTCTTCCTCCGGCGTCGAGATTTGGGGCCCGCGCGCTTGTGCTTGAGGCGATGTGCCCCTCTTGGAGTACGTGCTCCTGGACCAGGCCCCCTGCCTTTCTATAGAGCTGCGCGCAGGTGCCCAACAGCTTCCTTTTCCGGTCGCTGGTGCAGCTTTGGAGGTGTCGGCGCGTCGCCCATGGCGGCCAAGTTGCTCCCGAACAGACACTGCAGCTTGCGAGAGGAAGTGGCACACCTCTCGAGCGCCCCGCGCCCCGATCCTCTAGATGTGGCCCCCCGAGCATTCTCAAGCTCCTCCTCCTCCTCCTCCTCCTTCCTCCTCCTCCTCCTCCCCTCCTCCTCCTCTTCCTCCTCCCCCCCTCCTCCTCCCCCCCCTCCTCCTCCTCCTCCTCCTCCTCCTCCTCCTCCTCCTCCTCCTCCTCCTCCTCCCAAGGTGAGGGACAGCCCCGTGGACGCGCCCACGCAGTTCGAGGAGTACGGCGAGCAGGTCCGGCAGAAGTTCCGCGCCCTGCTCGCCGCCGCGGCCCAGCTGGGCGCGGAGGCCCGACGTGGCAGAGCTGCACGCGGAAGCGCGGATGTGCTCCTCCTGCTTCCCCTGCCCTTCTCTGCTCCTCGCGGTCCTCATCGATCTCATCATCCTCGGCTGCACGACCTGTTCACGCTGTCGCCGGCGGCTTGCGTCGTGGAGCGTGCCGCCTTCTCCCTCTCCACCCTCCTCCTCTTCCCTGCTTCCCCATGGTCCGTTCCGTGCTCCTGGGGCGGAGCCGTGCTCCCCAAGCTATCCCCCGAGTGTTCCTCCTTTTCCTCCTCCTCCTCCTCCTCCTCTTCTAGATCCTCCCAGCTGCTTCCTTGCTCACCTTCTGTCCTCATCCCCTCCTACTATCATCACGAACTACTCACACTGTTAATTCTGTACGGTGTAATTTCCCTCTTCTCCTCCAGCCATATCTATCATCTTCCCCCTACTTCTGGATTCTCTCCCGTGCTGTTTGCAAAAATCCATGTTGCCCTTCCTCTCGCCTCTGGTCCTCCTCTTCACCCAGAATCTTGTCCCTCCACCCCACCTTGTGAGAATCACCAGCCATCAACACACACACACACACACACGTGTTCCCCCTTTTCTCGACCTCCGGTTCCTCTTTCTCCTCCCAGGCCGCTTCCCATATTTCAGGCTCCCCAGAGGCTTGTGCCATTAATGTCCCTTCTGGACGTCGCATGACGATGTGCACGGTCGCCCGGGTGCCCCGAGGGAGGGCGATCAGAGCGGAGGGGGAGCAAGCAGGGTGATACAAATCGGAGGTGCGGAGTAAGGGAGGAGGAGGAGGAGGAGGAGGAGGAGGAGGAGGAGGAGGAGGAGGAGTAGGAGGAGGAGGAGGAGGAGAGGAGGAGGAGAAGTTGGAGGAGGAGGAAGAGCAGGAGAGAGAGGAGGAGGAGGAGGTGGCGGAGGAGGAGGAGGAGGAGTAAGAGGAGGAAGATGAGGAGGAGGAGGAGGAGGAGGAGGGAGAGGCAGGAGTAGGAGTAGGAAGGAGGAGGAGGAGGAGGAGGAGGAGGAGGAAGAGCGACTCAATCGGAGGAAAGGCAGGCGCAGGAGAAAGACAATGACACCCTTGGCGGCCAACAGCAACATGAGCTTGGAACGCAGCTCACGAGTGGGGGCCACGAGAGGCCAACGATTTTGTTCGGGGGCCCGGGCCTCCTCAGACCTGGGCGCTGAGAGGACTTTCACAGTGGAACCCCATGCCAAGGAACACCCTGCTTGCCTCCAGGGTGCCATGGTGATCGTTTTCTCATTCATTGTTTTGCAGACCGGCGCGGGCCCTTGCACCCCCCCTCCCCCCCTGCATGGAGTAGATCTTGGCTGCTTTGGGCGCCTGTTTCGAGCAGCTGGGGTCTCCCCCATAAGACGCATTATTGCAAACAGTGGCATTAAGCAGAGGTCCGGAGCCAGAACCCCCCCACTTCCCCCCCCTTCCGCCCAATGTCGAAACGTCGAATAAGAAAACGTTCACCTGGATTTCTTGGGTCCCGATGGTTCGGCTGTGGAAAGACATTCCCACACCAAGAAGCAAGGTGAAAGGTTTCTCGTGGAAGGTTTCTTGTGGTCGCTTCCCCCTCCCGCCCTCCTCTCCCCCCTCCCGTCCCCTAGGCCGCCGACACAGTGGTTCTGTTGCTTTCACGACGTTCTCCCCCAGCCCTCGTCCCCATCCCATGCAGCGTCTCTTCGCGGCGGATAGTTTTCGTGATGCTGCATGGGGCGACGTGGCCCGCCAGACACTGAAAGCGCCACCGGGGCGCCCGTCGCGAGTTTGTTCGCGGCGCCTGGAGGTATCCCAGACTCCCGACGTCATGATTTTTTCATTGCGCGACCCCCAGAGGTCTGGACCTATTCCCCGGGACCAGTTTTTCATCCCGAGTCGTTTTTTGACGGTCCCGAGGGCCGGTGAGGGCCCCCAGAGGCCGAAAATTGCGAAAAACCTTCCGCCGTGATTTTTTCACGACTCGAGCGGGGCCTGGGATCGGTCCGTCCCCGCGTCTAGTGAGAGCGTTGAGATAGGATCCGATGTGGTTTCAAAAGGGCTCCGAGAGCTTTCCGTGTAGGTTCAGCTCTCCTCTGGCGCTCCTCGCAGATCCACGCGCCACTCGGGCCATCCCCTCCGCATGTGTAGGGTTCTGCTAGGCCATACTTTGACTGCTTCCTTTTAAATCCGGCCTGCCCCTCTACAGGAGGAGTACTCAAAGATAGACAAAAAATAGTCAGATCTTGTTGTTTTAATGTTTGACTATTTTGGGGTATGCTTCATTTCTCGTCCACGATCCGCCTGTAGGGGGACATGCTCGACCTAATGCTTCCTCTCCCCTCCCCCCGGTGATCTCGGGAGAGCCCCCGGAGGCTGCCGAGGTCCCTGGAGACCCCTGGAGGCTGAGAGAGGCGCGAGAACGCAGAAGCACTTCGATGTCAGGTTCTGAGCCAGGAGGGGAAAACACACACAGACACAATTCATCGTCGACCCCCTGGAAGATGTAGGAAAATACTGGAAGGGAGGAAGACGAAAACCCGCAAAATATTGGAAACCATGGGGAATCCTGGGATTTGCGTGTACAGCATTGATTTGTGTGCCCACGGGCCCCTTGACTGAGGTTCTGGAAGGTCGCTCCAGGTCAGTAGGGCATCGGGCTGTGCACAGACGACCCCCTTGGCTGGCCTCCACTCGGCCCCTCCTTGGGGGCTTTCGACGGCCGCGCCCCGCTCGGAGAGTGTCGACACAGCCTCCTGAGGCCCTCGCGCCCTCTTCGTGCGTTCTCCTTCCACTGGTTGACTGCAGTCTGCGGCGGTCTCAACACCCCGGCGGAGGAGGAGGAGGAGGAGGAGGAGGAGGAGGAGGAGGAGGAGGAGGGAGGAGGAGGGAGGAGGAGGACGAGGAGGAGGAGGAGGAAGAGGAAGAGGAAGAGGAAGAGGAAGAGGAAGAGGAGGGCATCTCGCGTCTTAGAGCATCTCGCAGAGGCCGTTGTCTGCCCGGACGTCGGCTGCGGGGTCTTCGGCAACGATCCGGCCATCGTCGGCGGGCTGCTGGGCCAGGTCTCTCTCCCATCGATCTCCTCGATCCCTGCTCCTCGCCCGTCCTCCTCCTTCTCCTCCTCCTCCTCCTCCTCCTCCTCCTCCTCATCCTCCTCGATCCTCCCCACTTCGCCCCCCCGGCGCGTGTTTCCGCCTTCCCCTATATCCTTTCTTGTCCTTCTCATCGGCCTGCCCTCCTCCAGATCCAGATCTCATCCTCGTGTTCTCACCTCATCCGCCTCCTCCTCCTCCTCCTCCTTCTCCTCCGGCTCTCCTGCGTCCACCTCCTGCTAGTGTTCGTCCTGTACCCTTCACGACATTGTGTTCATCATCTTTCTCATCTTCTTCTTCTCCCTCCTGCTCTTCCCTCCTTGTCCTTCTCCCTCCTCTCCACCTGCTCCGTGGGTTCTCGTTGCCTTCCCCTCAGCTGAAGTCGGGCCTGTCCTTCTTCTGGAGGAATATTCAAAAGATTGTTAAACAAATAGTCTGGGACTTCTTAATTAGGGGGACAGGCCCGACTCAACCCTAAGCAGCTTGCCTGACAGGGTCCAACATATTGTCTCTGAGGCCAGAGGCCGGGCGTGGAACTCGCCAGATCCCAGATCGGTGGCCCGTGTTCTCTCGTGCGTGGTTTCCCGCATAATAGGCTCCTTCGTGGTCTCCCGCATGGACTCCCACACGGTTTCCCGCATGGTCTGACGTGTGGTCTCCCGTGTGGCCTGCTGTGTATAGTGTCCCGTGCGATCTCCCGCAAGGTCGCCCCTATGGTCTCCCGTATGGTCTCCCATCTTTTCCGCGCTTTCTGTCGCATTCTCTATATGCATGACGCCCCCTTCTTCTATAGTGTCCTCTATAGTGCTCGTGGTGCTCTCTTTGGTGCTGTAAAGAGCTGCTTTGGGCTTTCTGTCGCCTAAGCAGTGATTGCATTCGCCTCGTCGTCGTTGTCGTCGTCGTTGCCGTATTTACGTATGCTTGGGTAGCCCTCGCTTCGCTGCCTGATGACAGGCCCCAAGAGAATTCTTGATTTCTTTCGTCCGTCTCCAGCTACTCCTCGAACTCCCCGATCTTATTCGAGATGATGCAGATGTCCCCATCATTAATCCTTCATGCCTCCTGTTTCTCCCTGCTTCCTCGTCCCCGTTCTCCTCCTCATCCTCCCCTTCCTTCGCACCTCCACTCTCTCCTCATCCTTCCTCCTCAGCCTCCCTCCTGTTGGTCTGCGACTGTCCTTGTTTAAGCTCGGTGCGCCAGCTTGTGGTCTCCACCTTGTTTCAACAGGCCGCGACCGCCGCAGTGGCAAACGCGTCGCAATCGGGTCCTGGCTCTGTTGTGCAAGACCAAGTATATCCTCGTTCTCCTTCCACTTCTTTTATTTTCGAGACAGAGGTTCTGTTCTCCGCATGCCACGCTTCGTTCGCCTCCTCGTTCTCCTTACTCCTCATCCTCGCCCTCTTACTCATCCTTCTTCTTTGCGCGGAGAGAGAAGCCAAGCCTTCCCTCTCTTCCGCTGTCCATTCCTTATTTTGTTTCCCCTTCCCTCATCCGTTCGTCCCTGCGCCTTCCTGCCCCCCTTTGTGTTGGTTTCCTGAGCTCCTTTACTGGGGGGGCGCCTCCCCTTCACCCCCCTGTAGCGCTAAAGGCGTCCTTCTGCGGGGCCTGACGAACCTCTCTTCTCCTTCCTGATATGGCTTCCACAGGCGGCCTAGCAATGTTGTGCTCATAGGCTCTGGTTGCGCATGGCGGTGCTCACCGGTCTGATTGCGCACGACAGTTTACACGTGATGTTGCTTTTGCTGGTCGCAAGCGCACCTTGGTGCTCACAGGGACTTCTCAGTACTCGCAGCCGATCGCGTTGGTGTTCGCAGGGACCTCGCAGTGGTCGCATGCCGTGGTAGTTGCAGGCGATTGTGTCGTTGGCAAGGTCCAGTATGCCGATGTGTGTGTGTGCATGAGACGTTGCTGTACACAAGCGCACTGGGGCGCTCATCGGTGTTCTTGGACGAACGGAGCGCCGCTGTGTTCGCAAGGGTGCGCAGTTACTGTTCGTAGTGGCACTGGTGCTTGATAGAAGCCGTGGTCCTCGCAAGCTATCGTTGTGGTCACAGGCATCAGGCAACATGCGGTGCTCGCAGGCGGCTGCGGCTTTAGCAGGGCACGCCATGATGTGATGCTGTTATGCATGCGTGTGTCGCTGCCGCTTGTATGTGCAGTACGTCGCCGACAGGCACTCTGTGTCGCTGGCATCAAATGATGGCGCTCGCACGCTGTTGCGGTACAGTCAGGATGTGGCATGCTGTTGTGCATGCATGTGCCGCCGCTTATGCTTGCAAATTCTGGTGCTCAAGGGCGTATTGTAGCGCTCACAGGCACACTCGGGTCTGTACGGATGTCATGTGGCCCTCGCAGGGTATTGCGATGCTGGCATGATCGGGCATACTTGTAGAGTGTTGTGCATACGGGTGCTGCTGCTCGCAGGTGCGCAAAAGTTCTCGCAGACACGCCGTGGTTTTTGCAGGCTACCCCATGTGTTCGCAGTCATTTGTGTGGGCGGTCGCCGGCTATGTTGGTACTTGCATGGTCTGGCATGTTGTTAAGCATGCGTGTGCTACTTCTTCTCGCATGCGCACTGAGTCACCTACAGGTGCGCTGGACTGATCGCAGGTCATTGCGGTGCTCGCAGGCATCTTGCACTTGTGGCGCTCGTAATATCTTGTGGGGCTGGTAGGGTCTGACATATTCGTGCGTTTGTGTGATACTGCTGTTTGCAGGCGCACTGCGGTGCTCGTGCGCACGTTGTTGCGTTTGCAGGCTGTCCTGTGGCCCACAGTCACATTGTGGTGCTCGCAGGCCATCGATGTACTGGCAGTGATTAGCCGTGTCGCATTATTTTTTCATGCGTGTGCTGCTGTTGTTCGTAGCCCATGGGGTGCCCACAAGCATTCTCGGGAGCTCGCGACATAGGGTATTGTGCAATTGGGTTCTGCGTACTGCCGTGGGTACATGTGCCGCAGAAACTGCTCGCATGCGCGCATCTGGGCTCATTGGCACATCGTTGTACTGGCCGGCTACTGTGGTGCTGGCAGTGCCAAGGAAAATTGTTGAACACCGTGGTGCTCGCAGGCTACTGTGGTACTGGCAGGGTCTGTCTGGCTTCCCTCCCCGTCTGGCAGTCGCGGTCTCACTAGCCGCTAGTTTGCAACGCACGGCAGGCTTGAGGCATCAAGCGTGCCCAGTGTGCGTGTATGAGAGAGCGTGCAGGCAGCTTCGATGAGCGCTGCGCGTACCTTTGGTGCACAGGTGCTGGAAACGTTCATGGGCTTCCGCGCGCGTGCTCACCTGCATGCTTGCATGGGCGGCGCCTGCCATGCCGCGCCCCCCTGGTTACCGTCATACACCCCTACCGCGCTCCCCTCCCCGCGTAAAGGACGTTACGGGGGGGACATAAACACACAAACAATTGCCCCTGCTTCCCCCATCCCCTCCTCTTGCGTCCATCCCTCATTGCTCATCCGACTACACCCTGGGACCACTGTTTCGGTGCTGTTCGTTCGTGGACGGCCCCACCGAATTCGAGAGGAGTCGCTCTTCGGCATTGTGACGCGAATGCTGCGGCGATGACTTGAAGTATGAGTATTGGTCCTCCTCGTCCTTCCTTCCTCTCACTCTCTCTCTCCCTCTCTCTCTGTCTCCCTCCCTGACTCTCTCTGTCTCTCTTTCTCTTTCTTGTGGTTTGGTTATAGCTCTTGTGTTTTTGTTG